AGAGAAATCCACTTTTGAAGAGACCTGGGGTGAAGTATGGTCGACCGAAAGTCACTTTAACGCTAAAGCACCTTAACTACAAGTGTGGCAGCACAAATCACCGAAATGACATTCGGTGAAATCACCCAATATATTCTACACGAAGTTGTACAGAACTTTCGAAACTGAATGTGCCCTGTATCAGACGGTCTTTACAACTGGTTCAAAAAATTAACCTGTCTCCACGCGAAAATCTCACAAACAATTTTAATAATCCCAATGAAATGTCGCACGTTCTGTGTGATGGTGTTACATGAAACCGTAAATCAGTGATACTACAGATCCTATGAAATATAGACCAATCACTTGCCTTAATAATTTTTACAAAATCATCACAAGTTGTTTATTGATGGTTATTGATCAAAGCTGTGTAACAAATACTATCTTAGCTGAAGCTCAGAAAGGATGCAGTAAGGGCTCCCTTGGAAGTATATAACACCTCATTATCGATAGTGCGGTCATGTTTCAAGCGTGCAAGAAGAAACGTAACTTGTTCACATGTTTCATTGATTACAGAAAGGCCTCTGACATGGTTTCACATGATTGGCTCTTATGATGTACGTGAAGTGAAACGTTGACACCAATCGTTTGTACCAGATTTGTACCCATTTGTACCACAAAAACATTCGATAGAACCATAACCACTTACAATATACAGCTCGTTGTATTGTGGTGGTGCCAATTTCACACTGGCACCGCCACCATCGTAAAAATATTTGGAAACATTATAAATCGTTTGTACCGGAAAGTTAATATTTTTCGTTTGTACCAGACAACGAATGAAGATACAGCCATTTTATGGGGCGGCGGGAGGTGAACCGGAACTGTACCACCATTCTCGTCACAGCAACCGTAGATAATAGTAAAATCATGCTCAAAAATCATTGGTATCTGCGTTACGTAACCACACTTTAGACACAAAGCTGTTTTCTTCAAATTTTTAAGTAGTCGGCTTAAGAAAGAAATTTAAAAAATAAAAATAAAATAGTAGAAAAATGATACCTATGGAACTCGAAGAATTTAATATCTGCATGAAACATCGAGCATATTTTGTTTTAATGATGCAAAATATTTTTTACAAAATTATGACACAAGTTACAAAGAATTAATTTAACCTATGCGAACTCTGTTTCAATAACTTTGATAATTAGTAACATCTCGAAAAACATTCTTGCTTTCCTGTGTGATGTGATGCAAATATAAATAGAGGGCGAACATTAATGAAATGTCAGTGGAATGAAAAATTGAAGCGTAAGATTGAACATTAAGGTGGTTAGAGCGAGATAAGCGTTATGTGTAACATGTCTTTTTTTATTGTATTACTCGAAAGATGCGAGGTTCTTCTATGTTCTGATAGAATTTGAATCGATTTTACCGTCCGGTTTTTGCGTAACGAGACCATAAAGTTCGCTGTTTTAACACGCACTCTTATGGTAACCTGACAGATCTGACCTGAAATTTTAAAATTGTGAGAAAATTAACTGTTGAACATGCTTTTAAAAACTTTTCTTTTGATAGCTAGCATCTCGAAGAATCAACATGCGCAATTTGAAGGAAATCTACCGTTTCAAATGGGAGAACTTTGCAAAATTATAAGCCTAAATCAGTCCAAAGGGAGACGTTCGCGCGCTTTATAGGAGGCGGGACTGTGACGCGCATCTCGGCAACACCGCGCGCGCAACTTCATTCAAATCGAGTAACTAGAACCAAGTACATTCCTTAGGTCCATTTCAGGTCAGATCTGTGAGGTCACCATAAGAGCCCGTATTAACACAGCAAACTTTACGGTCTCGTTACGTGAACACTAGACGGTAAAATCGACTCAAACTCTACCAGTATATAGAACAACCTGCCACATTTTGATTAATGAAAGAGGCGTGTTAAACATAACACTTATTTCGCTCTAACCACCTTAACTACATTCGTGTTAACAATGCCTAAAGCATCTATAAAAACCCGGGGTGAAGGAAATAGAATTTTGATCAGGCATTCTCATTCTACATCAGTTTCAGCCCAACTGCAATTTATTATAGGCAGGACGGATATGCTAGTATTTTTTTCTTTGTCTCTGCTAGAAATTATCAACATGAAATATTTATGATTTTAATATTATGCCCCAGTTGGTTACAAGGAGAGCGGCGGCGAAATGTCGGCAAATATAAACAAACTATTTGAAAGGTAGAACCACATGCTTCTACATCCCATTAGTCATGATAACTATAGCCAGTTGGTCATCGCAGCCCACAAACGCTTACGTCGACGGTTATCGCGTTCGGATCTAGAAAGTGAGAGATCAATAATAAAAAGTACTCAGAAAACAAGGTCTTGTTCACATGAACATAGAGATTTCCAGAAGAATTAAAATTTGTTGGAAGAGACGTACTTCAGTAAAGCAATTGACACCAATAGTTTCGTATTCTGATGGAAAGAAACGGAAAACGTCAGGTAGAACGATCAGACGGTACAAACAAATTCTGATGGAACTATCCGGCACAAACGAGGTACAAACGATTTATAATGTTTCTAAATATTTTTACGATGGTGGCGGTGCCAGTGTGAAGTTGGCACCACCACAATACAACGAGCTGTATATTGTAAGTGGTTTTGGTACAAACGAATATATTTGTGGTACAAATGGGTACAAACCAGGTCCAAACGAATGGTGATGGTTCCAGGGGTTTGGGTTGTACTTCACGGGCGCGCTCCTATGTGCTATCATTACATCATATTAACTCGACAACAGCGCATTTCCTCAAATCCATCATGAACAAAGGGTAGACAACTTTTCGTGTCACTTGAAAAACGAAACAATGGTTACCAAGGAAATAATTATAAAACGTGTAGTATGTCTTCCAAGGTGATAGTCTGAGCCCTTACTAGTTCTGTCTGCCAATTACTTTTTGTCGACATTCCTAGGAGACTTGAAATTAGGCTTCGAACTGTAAGGCACTGAAAGATCGCAAATAACCCACATAAGCATGTATGGACAACGTCAAACTCTACTCTGGTACGTGGCCTCAACATTCAGATAAAGCGATTGAAGATTTCTCCATGGACATAAATATGCAACTATGCATTAATAAATGCAAAATACAGAATGCTAAACTGACTAGTGAAGTCACGTACGAGACAATGGAGAAACCATCACCTCTTTGCAAGTTAATGAGTTCTACACCTTCGTGTACAACAAGGAAATATGATTGCACATCATTAACTGGAGGCAATGCTGAAAGCCGTGATTGCCAACCGACACAAGGCAGTATTAAAAACTTCCAACTCTCGAAACTCACGGCTGCAATCAACTCGTATGCTCTACCCATAATCACCTCGATGGTATTATTGAATGGTCCACACCCGATGTAGAGGAATTGGAAAGACTTGTAAGAGTTCAAAGGGCCCACTTCGGTTGCCCTTTCACCATCTCAGAAGTGCCATCCAGATGGTCAACACTGCCGCGGCATTGTAGAGTTGACAAATAGCCATGCCAAACATAAAAAACTATGAGGAAATTGCAGAGAAAGCATACTTCTCTACCGATAAATGTACCACTCACCTTCACAAGGTAATTGTGCAGGCAAATGACAATTACACGCCCCTCAATCTCAAACATATGCCAGTTCCACAGTCCACTTCGCAGCAAGAGATCTATTCCTGGAAACAGAAAGCACTCCAAGGTATCCTGCTGCAGTTGTCAATCCATATGTCGACAAAGAAATGTCGTACAAATGGCTCAGTATATCGTAGTACAGATAAAAAAATATCAATAATTTATGTCACTTTAATTATGGGACTTTAATTAAAGGAAAACAATGAAGCCAGAATCGGAAGGAGTTGTAATAGCAGCCCGAGATCGGGTGTTGAGAACACCACATTATGAAAAAGCCGTTTTCAAAATTTCCCAATATGATAAATGTTGCATTTTCCCGGAAGCAGTAGAAGCCATTGATCATACTTGAAAATGCACGACAGGGTGTGTAGTTACCTCCACTAGTAGACATGTACCGCCCTCGAAGTTCCAAACACATGCTCCAAGTGATACGAACACTCACAATAACCGGTGACGTCACTTCGGCTGTGTACAATTTAGTACAACCAACAAATTCAAACTGATCGCACGATAGCGGCAGACAAATCGGCTACTGATATCCGGGATTTGAAGAAAAATCATGTCTACTAGTAGATGTTGCTGTGCTGTGCGATCGAAACGTAACCAAGGAAGTAGAGAAACGTCTTAAATACAGAAGTTTGAAAACGAGATCCGCCGAATGTGGGGCGTAAAAGCACAGGTCGTCATGATAGTTATCGGACTCCGGGACGTATTCCGCAAAATGATTGTAAGAACTTGGCTAAACTCTCAAGTCATTCAAGATAGGGTAGTTCAAGTCATTGCTTTATTTGTAACAGCCCACATGTTGCCCAAAGTATTGGAGAGGCACCGATAGTCCCTAGGTCTTCTTCTTAGGAAGGTGGTAGCAACTTAGAGTATATTTTATATTCGACCGAGTCGTAACGAGAGGTATAATCGAGTCATAACGAGTAGACGAAAATAGAAATGTCTTTATTTCTGGCGAGGCTCATGCCGTAGGGCTTGATCTTCCGCCTAACTACTTAAATATTTACGTTTACATAATTCCAAATGTAATTGAATTGTAATTTAAAGATGTAATATATATATATATATATATATATATATATATATATATATATATATATACGCAAACACCCAAATCCCCTCCCCCCAAAAAAATTCTCTGGATCCATCCCTATATTAAACCAAAGTGATTACTATAGGCTCGAATTGTGTATGAATAATTTAGAATGACTCTCCGAGTTGCTTTTGCTTGTTTCACCATAAAAAGCCAAGCACCTGCTCGTGCTCAAAAGCCGACCGTCTCTCGGAAGTTCCAAGGAAAGCCCCGCCCCTCACTCTCCGACCGCGCCCATCTCGGCTGTCACAAGTAGTTGAATGCTCTCTTCGCAGATAGCACCACTGCCTCCGGAGAGTTATTTTCAGATATTCCTTTTATTCCGTGGTTTCAACGCGTTACGGTTTAATCAGACGTAGAGGGAGAAGAGGAGAATAGGGAGGCTAGTCGAGGCCAACGAACGGACTTAGATCCACAGGAAGAGTACAAGTGTTCTAGTATACTGCTGTTTCCTTGATAGTGATTGTGTGTGATGTTATAAGTCTATATTGTTGTGCACTTATACAGTTCCGTCAAAATGCCGGTGTTTCACACGAAAACGATAGAAAGCATTTTAGAACCTGTTGCCCAGCAGGTATGTGGTGTGCTTCTTTTATAAACGAAACTAATTTTAAAAATTACGTTATGTGTATTGATAAATACTTCCGATAATGTGTCCGAAGCATTTTTTTCTCCCTTTTGTTTGGCAATGGTGTTTGATAAATGCAATGCCAAATTTGAACACGAAATAATATTTTTTTACCAAGACGAGTTAGCTTGAAAAATATCACTTGGGCGTTGCCACAAAATTTTGACAGAGCTGTCGGCATTGATGTCATGTGATATTACGTCACTGGTGTTAAGTTGTATTTTTGTGTGACGTCACAGTTTTTCACAGCCTTATATGGTCACATGTGTTGACTCCACCTCAGGTGTGCGCATGGATTCTGCGTGTTGTGAAATGTGACTGTCATATCCTTTCGTAATGACAAACGACCTGTTGATTTCGGAAAATGTAACCTATAAAGATAGGGGTCGTCAATTATTGAAAAACAAATTTGGAATAAAATTTCTTAAAATATAGTAGCAATTTTATTACCCCCTTCAGATGTGTGTGCCAACTTACCACTCCTATTCCTTTGGCTTATTACGAGAGACGTACTGGCAGTTGTATTGCCGCTTGAATTGTTACTTTGATTCAAGGCAACATTGAAAAACGGAAAAAAAGACGTTTCAAAATCTAAGAAATGACATTTCACTTAAGGCATTACAGTTTTTGTCTTCATTGCATTCCAGACATTTGTGTTTTAAGGTCTCTTGTTTTAAAATTATATAGCCTACATTTTTGCATTGAGCAAATGCTGAGATGGCCCCTTGTTTTGCTTCTGGACAATAAATGTTACTTCACTCACTGCACTCGAGAAGATGCATGTGATTATACTCCCTCTATATATACATCATATTTGACTTGTCATACAGAATTGTGTATGTTACTCAATAAATATTATTATTATCATCATCATCATCATCATTAGAGTGTAAAGAGCTTAAGTAATTCCACATCTTGCTTACCTATATTCAGTATGTTTAAGGAAGAGGATGTGTAAGTGGTTTTCAATATACGTTCAGAAATTTCTTTCGTACGACTCATACTAAAATGGGTTGTTCTGTAATGCAGATAGCTTCTTTTGCATTTCCAATTAATATATTTTATAAATAAACAAAAAACGTTTGTTGACAGATTCAGATATTTTGTATTCAAAACGTAGAGCCTAAGGGAAATCTCAAAATACAAGCAATTCGTGGATGGACATTGCTTATGTATTCAATAATTCAAAACAGGAAAAATAGTAAATTAAATTTATGAAGAACGTATTGTCAAAGAAACTCTTTTTAGCACTGTTCCTTGATCTTCAGAATATCAAGGAACTGTCCTAAGAAGACAATTGCAGTTGAAAACACTTAATTGTATTATGATTATTTACATTCTTTGACTTTGATATAATTTAAAACTAAAACTTATTATATATGAAATTCAAACTTAATAGACCTTTTCATTAATTTTTACTGTGAAATTACTTGAGAAAGAAGATTTTATAACCTCTTTAAAAGCAATCTGAACAAACTGATAATATCTTCGTGAAATAGATCATGTAAAAAGTTTTATTAAGTTTGTAAATGGCATCCTAGAGTATAGACTAATTATTTCTCAATTTTTTTTAATAAAAGGAAAAATGTTTTTATTCATTATACAATTTATTGAATCCATTAAAATATAAGATTGCAGTGAAATATTCTTCTTTGGCATATAATAATAATAATAATAATAATTATTATTATTATTATTATTATTATTATTATTATTTATTTTGGTTCTTTTATAGTACAAGTACCATTTTAGACCAAGACATGAATTGAGTTTAACAAACTATTGACTAATACAAATTTTAACTATTTTAACATAACAAATACATTTTCTCGTAAAATAGGATAGGAACTTTTTTTATATATAATACAAAGTTTCATATTTATATTTGTCCATACACTTGCACATATAGATTCAGCATAGTACAGTTCATTATTTTTCTTAATTCTGTGCCATCCACAATATTCTCTCTCGCATATATATTAAATGTAAATGCAGAAAATAAACCATGTAAAACCGCAATCAGGAGTTTAAAAACTACTTTATGACAATGCAGTAATGTTTCATTAAATCATACAAATGTCATACAAAGCTTCATTACAATATCTAATGGTTTTATCATAACACTCCATTTCAAATACAAAAACGATGATGTAAAAAACAAATGAGTAGCGTTATCTTAAATGAGACGTTCATGTAACATAAGGGAAACAAAAATAAAATGAAATTAAAAATGCATTTGGAACTGTTGTAGATAAGTTTGAATAATACATTTGATATAACGTTATAATGTAACTCGTGATGCAAAAGAGATTCTTGTTTTATTATCATATCCTTATCAAAATAGTTTCACAAATAACTAACATTGATTTTTCAGAGATGGCTTTCTCAAAATATTCTTTATATTATCACCATCCATATTAGGTTAGGTATGTGAGGTATACATCTCGTAGGTTATATACCTGATCAGACTAGAATATATCGTAGACTTATTGTTACGATAACATTTAAATATTTTCATAACAAGGTTCAAGTTTAAAAATGATTTTTCATTATTTCTAAACTATTTCCAATGAAAATTGAATGTGATTGTCTAAAATGAAATAAAAGGAATGTTATACAAGTAGTTTAATATTTTAAAAGATTTCTAAAAATTGAACAGGTTTGTTTGTAATGTTTCAAAAAACTACAATATACTTTCATGTGGAAAATGTTTAAATTGGTTAAAAAAAACAACCTATTTATATGTTTGAAATATATCTGTTATGCTTGGTGCAGGTTTCTCGTCTCGTCATCCTTCATGAAGAAGCAGAAGATGGCAATGCTATGCCAGATCTGGAACGGCCTGTTATGGCTGTCAGTAAAGCTGTTGCCAATTTGGTCAAGGTACATAAAGTTTATTTATGTCTTATGATGTCATATGTTGTAATGGTCAGTCCACTTGTCTCTGTGGCATTGAAATTAATTAACAAATTTGCTTATTGATATGCAGTTAGCTTGTAACATGAGTAATATTACTAGTAATATTTTATTGTTCATTGTACGTGGGGTACAAGTTTCTAACAAACTCTTATCATGACTTAGATCTAGGTAATAACATTTATAATATTAACATTTACATTAAAGTATTTAATGAATTAATATTTAGCCAAACAAAGTAGCAGTAATTATTTATATGTTGAAGTCATTGCACAGTTAGGTATTTAAACTCTAGAACAGATAAAACAAGAATAGTATATATTTCTTTTACAAACAAAATGGAAATTTAAAAGTGTTTGAGATGATTTATTTATAATGACAATAACAAGAATTTTAATATTTTATTGTCCATAGAATTAAATTTCAAACAAAGTCAACATATAATAAAACCTATGTATATTAACACTCGTACAATATTTGCAAGTTACAATCAAGTACCTGGGGGTCTTTTTGAACTGATATATGCTGATATATACTAAGTGTAAATCATTGTTTTTATATAAGCATACATTTTAAAGTGATTTTCAATAACAATAAATATAATTTATTCGTCTTAATTATTTGATATAAAGATTAACCTCTACCATACATAACCTCCATTGTTGATACACAATGCTTCATAAATATTTAATAGTTTGTGAAAGTTATTTTGTTAATATTGGCTGTATCAGACATAAGTTTTTGAAGTTCATGACAAGATATTTCAAGTGAAAATGAAGAATTAACAAGAAATACTTTAGGTCAAACCAGTGTCATGTCGCGAGAAAAATTAATAACTCTCTAATAAACTTTGGAAAAATAGATGAAAATGGTTTGATATCTGCTTAATAAGTGCATGAAGGAATATCTAGAAGACTGAAATGATCCTGCAAGTATTCAGGAAAATATCAACAAATGATGATGGGGTTGGCAATTACCCCAGATATGGTAGAAGAGTTAAAAACAACATATGTGTATTACAAAATATGCAGCAGTTAATTATTGAATTATTATTAGTTATAAATATTAAAGTAAATTATTCAAGTTTTTAATCATATGAAACAAAGATAAAACAGGACTAGAAATACTACATATAATGTACCGAACACAAAAAAAAGATGACAGCTTGCAAGTTTAAATGATGAAAACACAATAACTGTTTTCAGTAGTAAAAGAAGCTGTGACATTATATGAAATATCCTACATTTGCACAAATATTTTTATTATCTATAGAAAAGAAAGAAAAACAACAATAGCATAATGTCAATGTATTTTCATCTTATAATTTCACTTTATTTTTTATTTTTAGCTGTTTCTAATCAATCTATCTTCACAAATAAATAGATTCTTTGAAAAAATGAAAAGTTTTAGAGAATCTCTATTTTCACAAAATATGCAAAATATACACTTAAAACGAATAATCACCAATAGGAAAAAGTTTCATTACAATATCTAATGGTTTTATCATAACACTCCTTTTCAAAGACAAAAAAGATGATGTAAAAAACAAATGAGTAGTGTTATCTTAAATGAGACGTTCATGTAACATAAGGGAAACAAATATGCACAAATGCACTCTAACATATTAATCTACATAGGATTAATCTCCAAATCCAACCCAATGTCAAGAAATTTCACTTGTGAATGCCCTGATGCTACAGACAAACATGCAAAGTCATATTAATCAGCTGTTTGGTATATGATATTATGAAATTGTATGGGAGGTTATTCTCGTTCACAAGTACTGAGTACATGTACAAGAAATCAGATTTTGTCCTGTTTATTCTCTTTGTGTGAAACTTACAAACCAGACTTTGTTGGCCAAAATTCAGTCCACACATTTATTGTGTCATTCATAGTTACTTTTTACTCTCCTGAATATGTTGTATGGGGAAAGTTATGTAATGCTGCGGAAAATCTATTTCGGGATTTCAACTGAAATACGTATTGGGGATTCCCTGTTACCAAAAAACTGTTTCTTTTTTTCTCTCTCTCTCTCTTTTCGAAACGTCCCTATGTACGTAGGATTTCTTCCAAACTGAAGAAACCCCTGTCCATCTGGCACAATTCAGAACTTCGAGATTAAAAAAAAAAAAAAAATGAGGGTATGAAGAACAAATTTTACTTGAAGGAGATACCTCAATCTTTAATTTTGTGATTGTAGGAAGACGTCCGAATAAAATTGAAATTATCGAGAATTAAGTGTTAAACCTGAAAATAGCAACTATTCCAGTGTATTTTACTCTATTCTTACAAGAAATGTAAAGAAAAATGAGGAGTGGTTTTTGTGAAATTTTGAAAATGTCCGTGGAGTGCTTCATGAAGTACCGCCAAATTAAGGATTTATTTTCAAAATCACGAAGTTACGATTCGTGCCAGTTTCTTCAATTTGGAAAAAACCTAATGCATGGTTTAGGCGCTAGTAGTGTTCGCAGACAGCAGTCATACGGACATTTTGAAGAAAAGAAAAAGACACTTTTTCGGTATCAGAGGACATCAAATCGTATTTCCGTTGAAATCTCGAAATCGATTTTCCGCAGTATTACATAACTTTCCCTATATTACTGCATATGTACGGGAAAGTAAAAAGCGGGCTGTTAGTTATTTATGAAAAAAATATTAGTTAGAATGTGCGGCTTTTTGTTGTTACAGTCATTTTATTGATTTAAACTGAAAAGGGGGGTAAAAGAAAAAGGGGGGGGGGGGCAGAGACAAGGCTAAATCTCCCAATGGCATGGGTTATCACTACATGAATCAATTAAAAAACTTAATTTTCCTTAGTTTTCTAAAACAGTCAATTTTAACCCAATCAAAAAAAGGTGGATTTTAAGTGGCTCAAATTGTATCACAATAATACATAAAACTGAATTAATTCATATCTTAATAAGCATGGTCATGCAGTTGTTTATAATTGCGATGTCATCAATATAGATTCATGATTACATGACTGACTTGTATATCTGAAAGGTTAATGGTAATGATTCAGGTTTGCTGGTGATTTATAATAAAAATTCAAAGTAAAATTCTTTCTTTTAAACTTTATAAATTTAATTTCAAACTTATTGTGAGATGAGTTTACGTTATAATGGTATTTCATTAAAAATTTCACAAGCTTTACTTTTATAATAATTCTGTGGCAATTGAAAGATCTTAGTTTGTGTGTATTCTTTTTTTTTTTTTTTTCAGGTGGGCAAAGAGACTATTAATAGTAGCGATGATGCCATCTTGAAGCAAGATATGCCGTCAGCTCTCATCAGAGTTGAAGGGGCCTCCAAATTACTTGAAGAAGCTTCTGGAATGCTCAAGGATGACCCTTTCAGTGGACCTGCTAGGTATGCAAAAACTATTGTTATGAGTCTGATTTGATAGCAACATATGAAAAATATTGATGCAATTACCAGAATTCTTGTTGAGTACAAACTTCATAAAATGCACTTGAAATTAAACTAGTGGTTTTTACAGAATAGCACAGACTTTCCCGTATTAGTTTTCTTTTTCCTTTGGTCTCAGTTATTCGAACTTGCCACATATTCTCGGCCTGCTGCCATCTATCGCTGCCCGAAGTACATTTTTTTCACATTTTCTTAATTTTTCTGCTTCCTAATTGCAGAACAGAAATATTATTTTAAGATTATTAAAAAACAGTAAAACCTCGTCCTAAATGGCAGCTTTGTTTAAAAAATGTGGAGCCGTTTTAAAAAAACTGGCGTTTAAACGGTACTGTCAATTCAAAATTTGAAGCTCTTTTTCACAAAAAATTTTAGTTTTTGGAAAACTTAATTCGAAGCCATTTGAAGAACTTTAACTCACAAATACAATAGTGTTTACAAATTGCTGGAAATGTGTATATAAACGGTGTGAGAGATTTTTCAAAAAATGTATTGGTAATTTTTGAAGAAACAAAAAATACACTGAAATTAACTTTACGTCATATTAAAGATTCAATTACCACTATTCGTTCAAAATGTTTGAAGAAAGATGCAGATTCGTTTTTGAGAAAATGGCATCTGAGCTTTTCTGGAAATGGGGAGTTATGAGCTAGTTTTAGACAAAAACCGTAGTTTTTGGAGAAACCTTTTATGACATTATTTAAAACACATGTACTCATGAATACAATAAAGTGAACAAATTGTCGTTAATATAAACATTAATGACATGAGAGGCTAGTCAAAAAATTACATTTTGTAATTTTTGAGGAAACAAAAGAATAGAGCAATATGGCATTTATGTTATCTTATAGAGTACATTTAGCACTATCCTTACTAAAATTTTATAGACAAAATTTGGAGCCATTTTTGAGAAAATCTGGTTTTTGTAATATTTTAAAATCGCACATACTACACACAATATTGCGCAAAAACTACTAAAAATTTCAAAAAATGTACATGACCTTAATGAAAGAACGCATTATGGAGGACAAATTTTATTTAAAGGAAAACTCTCTATCTTTAATTTTGTAGTTGTAGGAAGACGCCCGAAAAATTTTGAAATTTTTGAAAATTAAGTGTTAAACCAGAAATTTGGACCTATGCCATCTTTATAAATATATTTTACTCTATCCTTACAAGAAATTTAAAGAAAAACTTTGAAGCCATTTTTGTGAAAATTTTCGAAAAGTTTGGGAGGTTCCATGTAAATATCCTCAAATTTTAAAGAAGTTTTTCAAAATCTCAAAGATTTGACTTGAGCCAGATGGGCAGGGGTTCTTCAATTTGGGAAAAATCCTACTTGTGATTTAGGCGCGAGTAGTGTTCAGACACCAGACAGACGGACAGAGAGAAGGACCCTTTTAGGAATCGGGGGACCTCAAAATGTGTATATCCGTTGAAATCTTTAAATCGATTTTCCGCAGCATTACATAACTTTCCCTTTACAACGTATATTACTCTGTATATATGTACTTATATGGAAAAAGGAAAGTTGTTTCAAATATACATTTAGTCTTTGTATTCAGCAATGGCATTGCATGGAAAATTGTTTGTTAAATATAGTCTTTGCCAAATTAAAATAATAAATGTTTGTTCAAAATTATTTTCAATTTTAAGCATATTTTAATTTTCAATGTTGGTTTTACAATTTTTTTATTTTTACATTCTGCCATTTTCAGTGAGTAATGAAAAAATAAATATTTCCAAGGAGTAGAAAGTTTCATGTCTGCTTCGGTGCAATTTTAGAAAAATAGCACATTTTGCCAGTGTGTTCAGTACATTGCATTTTTCTATCCATTAGAAATGCTTAAAACAAAAAGTGTGGAGCCACTTTTTAGAGATTATTATTAATGTATTTTTGGAAAAGTGAAATAAAAGGTAGCAAAAATTACGCATATTGTGAAAACTCTGTGAGAGTGCTGATATTGAAGAATTGTTTTCAGTGAGAAAAAATATTCAGTTTTAATAATGGTAGGATAGATTAAAAAAAGTTCTGAACTTGAAAATTCAAAGGTTTTAATGTAAACAAGGCCTATTTCATGTTTGTAATGTATTTGAGGAAGAAATTTAACGACAAATCTTGGGTGGATTTTGACAAACTTTTGAAAATGTCCTGGGGGAAGGGTCCCAAGCTTTTCAGTCCCTGTTCCCCTTCAATAAATAAATAAATAAATAAATAAATAAATAAATATAAATATAAATA